CATATATGCATGACAGATACAATGTTTTTGAAATGTGTATTTTTTTCCCCCCCTTTAGGTCTACATATCTTTGACATTTTACGCCGTATTTTGAGTGAATATTTCAACTATGATGTTGTTTACTGTATGAACATTACTGACATTGATGATAAAATAATCAGAAGAGCACGTCAGAATTACTTGTATGAGGAGTACAAGAAGACTGTGCAATGTCCTATGAAATTATTACAAGATGTTCAACCTGCCGTCAAGGTAAAGTAACTAATGTAACATCTCTGTGAGACACATACTAAGAAATAGTAAATACTTGAACTGGACACAACGTAATCTGTCAGAGTTCGATATCCTTGCAATTCCCTACCACCTCTGATCAGTTATTCGCTGACTTTGCCTGTGTGTCGTTTGGATTGTCCATATGATAATTTCATATCAAATTCCAAATCTTCAATATGGTTGTACTGTCATTTTACTGACGCAAACGTAGCTGTTAACAAATGGTGAATAATTAAAGTGGGGGAGTCATCACCTACGCATGCGTCAGGTGGCCATAGCGTGTCATTGCTTATAAACAAGCGTCTACCCGTGAGCCTTTGCGTTCTTACCGTGTGTTGTTATCATCACTTGGGACTCACTTCCCACATGCGCGCAGATGACGACACTCTTGCTTTAACAAATGGTTACCGAAATGAAGGTCAATATTCAGTTTTAATTTAAATGCTGTAAATAGATCGTTGAAGTCTATTGCAGATGCCATTTCTTGTATACAACTACACATACGCAAAAATGAAATCAAGGTCACTGGATTTTTATTTTTGACAAGAATGAGTTTTATTAGCTCCGCTATCGGCTTTGTCAAGCGGAGCTTATCATATGAGTGATTGTCCGTCGTCGTCCGTGTCAATGTTTTACTTTTTCGACTTCTTCTTGAAAACTACAAGCCTGAATGCTTTCATACTTGGTGTATATGTACCTTGGGTAGACCTCTCTTAGGTTTGTTCATTTCATGTTGATATCTTCAATTCTCTAATTTTGATGAATATTTTTGTCATTTTTGGTAAAAAGTGATATTTTCGACTTCTTGTTAAAAACCGCAAGTCCAATTGCTTTGATACTACATATATAGGTACTACATGTGGACTTCTCTAAGATTTGTTCATTTCGTGATGATATCTTCAATTCTCTAATTTTGGTGAATATTTTTGTCATTTTTGGTAGAAAGTGATATTTTCGACTTATTGTTAAAAACTGTAAGTCCTGTTGCTTTGATACTATACATATTGTTCATTTTCCAATGATGTCTTCAGTTCTTTAATTGAAATGTGCATTGCTAACAGCGGAGCTATCTCAGTCGATAGGCTGCTTGTTGACTGCCATGTGACTGTGGTCTGACCAATCAACATGACAAACTTGCACATGGATAAATATAATAATATGGCGGAACACCACTACTTAGACACAAATGGTGTCCTTACACAGAGTTTGTGGCATCATGGTAAGCGGCAAAAATGCTGACAGGGAAATGTAGAAAACCTGGCATTCTAAATTGAAAAACAATAAGTTGTCTTTTTTACAGGAAACAACAGATAGGTATTTTCAACATTAGCCATACAGAAGAATCATTTCCCCTGAAACAAGTCCCTAATAATTTAAGGGGTTAGCATTTGTTTAATGTGTTTTTTTCAATATTTTTTTTTTTATTTTAAATTATTGATGGTTAGGACAGTATCTATTTCCATTCACTATCTTTATATTATAGGTCTATCAAGAAAAACTTCTCAATGAAACTGATCCTGATAAAAAGACAATGCTGGAAAAAATTCTGAAGAAGGTGGAAGATGGAGTTACTAAACTTAAACAGTACTTGAACAATGATTCCAGTCAAGATAATAGTGTCATACAGGTAATACACTATTATGATATTATTGGCTCTGATTGGTTAATAATAGTCAGTGATATGTTTATCTGCAAATGCATCAGTGTTCTGATTGGTTAATAATAGTCAGTGATATGTTTATCTGCAAATGCATCAGTGTTCTGATTGGTTAATAATAGTCAGTGATATGTTTATCTGCAAATGCATCAGTGTTCTGATTGGTTAATAATAGTCAGTGATATGTTTATCTGCAAATGCATCAGTGTTCTGATTGGTTAATAATAGTCAGTGATATGTTTATCTGCAAATGCATCAGTGTTCTGATTGGTTAATAATAGTCAGTGATATGTTTATCTGCAAATGCATCAGTGTTCTTCCTAGAAATTTAAAGCACTGTGGTGGTACATATGTACATGCTACTTTGCATATCATTTGCATAATTATTCAAATCAGAAATTGTGATGATTGACATATTCATTTACACACTGCATCATGAGTGTAATGTATCAATTTGATTTAAAAATCGAGCAATGGCTTATATATCTGGCAGTGTCAGACCAGTGTGGCACTAAGCACTATGGCAGTATCACTGCACTGTTTGTTTCCTGGGGAGAACCAAACTTTGTTAAAGGAATGGCATATTTTGCTGTTTGTTTTGCATATTTTCTAGGTTTTAAAAGTTTTGTCAGTAAAAAAAGGGATTTCTTGTACATTTTTGTATTTTAATGTGAAATTTATTTACTGGATTTTAATATCAATATTTCATTATTTCAACTATTATTATTTTTTCCTAAATACAGAAAGTTCTAGAAGATTCTCGGGATGTTCTTGCTGACTGGCTGGATGCCAAGTCTGGACATGAGGTCACAGACAACTCTATTTTTTCATTATTACCAAAATATTGGGAAGAGGAGTACCACCGTGATATGGCTTCGATCAATGTAAGTCATTTTGCTGTTTGCCTAGACTGCTAAACAAGGTTTGAAAGACAGGCATCTTATTGGGTTACGTTGACAACACTAAAGATAATACAGAGTGTTACTGAAAATTGTTTTTTTATTTTAAAAAGCAATTAAATGTCTGGTGTGCAAGTGTTTTCTGGAGGGTATGTATATACACAAGGTAAATGCCTTTATTGCTGTTAATTTTAAAAATCACATGTATCTTGTAACGCCACTGGTTTGGTTTCATATTTCACAGGTATTACCAGCTGATGTGTTGACCAGGGTGAGCGATTATATTCCAGAAGTTGTTGAATATGTCAAGAAAATAATAGACAATGGATACGGATATGTATCTAATGGCTCAGTATATTTCTCTGTATCAACTTTTGATAATGATCCAAATCACTCGTATGCTAAATTAGTACCAGAAGCTGTTGGTGATTGTAAAGCATTGGAGGAAGGGGAAGGTGATCTGAGTATTTCACAGGATAGATTGGATGAGAAAAAATCACAAGTAGACTTTGCTGTGTGGAAGAAATCGAAGCCAGGTGAGCCAGCGTGGGATTCACCATGGGGAAAGGTATGAATGTAGAACCGCACTATAGTGCTTTTTGCATAGCAAAATTCTGTCAATTTGTTTAATTATCCATCTGGTTTTCAGCTGACTTGTACTATTGTTCATAAATCGATGGTAGAATGGTTGAAATCCAATGCGCATTGCAACTTTACTGCTTTGTAAATATGATTGATATGAAACAATGACTGTATGTACCGGTAATTTAAGTCAACAAATAAATTATCACTCTTTAAGTCTAACATGAAATAAATATTCCACTGAGTACTGTTATTTGTATTACAGGGTCGTCCCGGTTGGCACATTGAATGCTCCGTTATGGCAAGCTGTATCTTGGGAGAATCATTAGATATTCACACTGGTGGATTTGATTTACGATTTCCACACCATGACAATGAACTTGCACAAGCTGAGGTAAGTCACCAGTAACTATCAGCACAGTAATACTGGTACATATGTTCAGGATATTGAATTTGTAATTTTGATAACTGAAAATTGATTTTACAAGAGTTTGCTGAAGCAATGTATAAAAAATTATGGGTCCTCTACATGTGCACAAATTTGTATTTGGTACATTTGTGATGCTAATTCTGCCTTAAATACTTAAAAAACTGTTATTCTGTACTCTTCCAATATATAGGCATACTATGGTAACGACCACTGGGTGAGATATTTCCTCCACTCCGGCCATCTCACGATACAGGGCTGCAAAATGTCTAAATCACTCAAGAATTTCATTACAATCAAAGACGCGCTGGAGAACCACACTTCAAGACAGTTGAGATTAGTATTTCTGCTGCATTCATGGAAAGACACACTGGATTACTCTGATAATACCATGGAGAGTGCCGTACAGTATGAGAAATTCATTGGTGTAAGTGTGTTTATTGAGACAGTCATTTCATCTGAATAATTCATGGGGTTATAATTTATCTTAGTCAGCTTTACAATCAAACCTTTCAGCACTAGGATAATAAATCTTGCTTATAATAGACTAATAGAGCAAATATGGTTTGTATTTTGCTTTTTGACCAATGGGCAGCTTGAACACTGAATAATGAATATTTAAATTTCTTGTAGGAATTCTTTTTAACTGTGAAAGACATCTTGAGGAATGCGGCAGATGGACCGGAAAAATTCTTAAAATGGGGAGAATCTGAGCTAAAACTGAATGAACAGTATGTATACCGGGTAGACAATCCTGTTGAGATCAGTTTGTGATATACACCAGTCTCGTGGTTTGTTTTACTGTACAGCCATTGGCTTTTTTAGAATCTATGAGATGAATATTTACTGTGTCCGAGAAAACTGTGAATATTACCGTAAAAACTCCAAAATTTCGACCCATCTAAAAATTCGCTCTTCTAATAATTTGCCGGGTTTTGGTATTTTATTTACCTCTTAATTTTCAACTCCACTAAAAATTGCCGACTCATTCTTATTCGAAAATTTCGACCAGTTTTGGTTTCCCCCC